TGGTAGGCGCGTAGTTTATCGCTTCTATTTTTTCTTGCACCTACATTACACGCATCAGCGTATTACACACACACACACACACACACACAAATACATACATAAACACATATGTTAGTATTTGAGCGTAATTTTATTTTCATTACACATTCTAATTTATTATTTCTAAGGTTGAGAGTAATTTAATTTCATAGGTAGTTAAGGGCAATAATGTAATTCTAGGAACAATCCTGTACTGTAAATTAAAACGCTGTAAGTGTATCGATAGGTAGGGTAATTATAAGTTTTACATTATTATTATTAGGTTGGAGCCCAAGGCATTACGTAGGTGGTGGGGTGGGCGCCGATTGGCTAAATGAATTGGGCTCTTGAGTTTTGTAATTTTAAGTAAGCTAGGACCGTAATGTAATGAATAGGTAAGTTAAGGCTACGTTGTAACACATACTCATTAATAGATTTAGGGTTTAAGTTTTATATTATTATTATTATTAAGTTGGAGCCCAAGGCATTAAGTAGGTGGTGGGGTGGGCGCCAATTGGCTAAATGAATTGGGCTCTTGAGTTTTGTAATTTTAAGTAAGCTAGGGCTTAATTGTAATAAATAGGTAAGTTGAGGGTACAATAGCCGATTGACTCTTGATTTCAAAGTCTCTTGCCAGAAGTAAGCCTTGGTGGCCAGTGGTGAACCGGCAATGGTTTACTATCCGGACGGCAATGGTTTACTATCTGCACGGTGATGATTTACTATGCGGCACGGCCATAGTCTACTACCCGCACGACTTCCGGACGGCAAATGGTTTACTATCCGCACGGCAATAGTCTACTATCCGCACGGCAATGGTTTACTATCCGGTGCCATGGCTGTCGGTGAACCTCTTTGCAAGGAGGGAGAATGAAGGGGGACTATCGTACCATTAATTTATAGATTAGTTAAGGTAATTGAATAGGTAGATAAGATTATTTTTATTAAGCAGTTTGAGGCGCAGGCACCGCTAAGCTTTCTGATGAGAATCTTCTCTTTATCTTTCTCCATCAACACGGGCTGTGTTTCAACAACAATCTCGAGGAGGACTGGCACCAGTATTGGAGGACAACGTAGGAACCGGACCACATTCAACATTCTGCCTTTGTCGAATGGACAACGGTAAGTTTTTTTTTACATTTTACTCTCTTTATTATTTTAAAATACTATTTTGCCATTATTTTCATTTTATAATTTTTTGCTTCTAAGATTCTAACATTCATTTACTACTACGCTAATAAAAAAATTTATCTACAGAATGATGAGAGGTGGGCAGAGGTGGGAGTCAGCACGTTTCAGATGGTGGTCTCATGATGATTTACGTATGATGATGGTGGTGTAGGAAGAATCAGCTCGTTCGCCGTTCGACCGACACTCTTCAGTTCGGATGAAATCTTGTGTGCCGACCAGATGATGGTGGTCGGTGCAATGGAGTTCAGTAACGACGATTTTTGAAGTAAGGTTTAATTTCATCTTTTAATTTTTCTCCATTCATTCATTCATTCATTCATTCATTCATTCATTCATTCATTCATTCATTCATTCATTCATTCATTCATTCATTCATTCATTCATTTAATCATTATAATTTTTTCTTCTGAGATTCTAACATTCATTTACTACTACGCTAATAAAAAAATTTGTCTACAGAATGATGAGAGGTGGGTTGTGGTGGGCGTCAGCACGTTTCAGACGGTGGTCTCATGATGATCGTTCCGATGATAATTCGAAGATGACAATAAGAAGTGTCTGGAGAGTACACGCGCGCACATTTACACACATACATCAATACAACACACACATACACAACATCCATTCATTCGGTGTCGTTGTTATGTTTCTCTTCAACTATCTATTTTCTTTACCGGACTTAATTTAATTCATAGGTAAGTTAGGGATTGAGATGAGTTGAACAATCGTAGGTAGGCTAGGGCTTAACATTAGTTAAAAAGTTAAAATTTGTTAAATAAAATACCTAAAACGTGTAAAATTCTTAAAACGTAGAATGACAAATTTGTAGGTAGGTGTGTTGAGTTAATTATTATAAGTAAGCTAGGGCCCTGAGAGTAATTTAATTGTAGGTAGGTGACTGACTACTAGTCTTGCGACTTCTTACTAGTTTAGTGTGATGTGTTTGTTTGTTTTCGCTTCACAACACCACACCAACAAAACAAACTACGTTTCATTCTCGTCGTCGCCTTAAATTTTACCTTTTTGAACAATCTTTTTTAAGGATGTCTATTTATTTATTAGATATTGACTGGTTTCTATTTTTTTAAATTTGGTTATATAATTTTTTGATATTTCTGATTTATTTTGTATATATTCATGTATAAATAATTTCTGTTTTGTATGTTGATTTAGTCATTATGATATGTTGTGAACTGTTTTTACTAAGTGTTATTGTTAAGTGAATCATTCTCCGAAAACAACTTAGGAATGTGTATAACAATAATAATAATAATGGATAATAATTATTTTTTATCGGTCGATATTTTGTTATATTTGTTTGTTTAAAATACGAATTTTTTTAAAAATTGACGTTTTCAATTAACCGTCGCTTTTCATTTTCGAATGAATTCAAATAAAAGCAACTATTGTGTTTTCCTTTCTTTACAAAAATCTCGAAATTGTTTGTAGATCTGAACCGTTAAGTTTTTGCTCGAGTTTGAACAAAGAACAAGCCTTGCAAATATTATCGTTTATTTGGTTCATTGATTGGTCCATTTGTTGGTTGATTAGTTGATTGATTGAATGGTTGGTTGATTGATTGGTTGGTTGGATCGTTGGTTAATTGGTTGATTGATTGATTGATTGATTGATTGATTGATTGATTGATTGATTGATTGATTGATTGATTGATTGATTGATTGATTGATTGATTGATTGATTGATTGATTGATTGATTGATTGATTGATTGATTGATTGATTGATTGATTGATTGATTGATTGATTGATTGATTGATTGATTGATTGATTGATTGATTGATTGATTGATTGATTGATTGATCTCATAGTATTGTATACATGAAAAAAATCCGATCAAGCCAGCCTACGGCTTCAGAAGGCACTTTTTCACCAGACAAAAGCAATTCCTATATTTATATTGACAAAAATAATTGTAATATGAATATATTGATTTATTTAAAGCATTATATGTACAAAAAACCGCAATCATAAGAATTCTATGAAACCCTGTAAGCCACTGAAGTAAGCCAACGTATGATTTCAGCAACCAGTTTCTATGAGCACCAGCAGAATGTTAAATATTTATTGAATATAATTAAGATAGTTGTTCAAATAACAATTTTGATTTATTTAGGCCGTTTATTTCATAAGCAAACAAACTTTTAACATGATCGAATAGTGCAAAAAAAGGTGATTATAGTTCAATCCTAGTAAGCCAACCTTCGGCTTTAGTAAGCCACCGGATTTCACCAGACCAAAAGCAATTTTATATTCAAATTTGCAAAAATAATTTTATAATACATAATTCTATTAAATAAAATTAATTAGAATTACTACAATATTTTAAGCATATTAAGTCAAGTAAATATTTCATGCAATTTCGTAAGCCAACAATCCAAGCATGTCAAATAGTCCGACGGATTGATCGAATTGATCGATTTAGTCCAATTATTCTATATACAGAATATATATATGATGCATAATTATAATTTTCCCTGAGATAATTTTTTTGGTAAAGTTGTCTGATGCCGTTTGTGTGTAAAAGTTAATCTATGTCACAATTCTCCAACTTTCGGCTTTATTTTTATTTAGTTTGAAAATTTGGATGAAATAGAAATGAATTGGGTTCGTTACACTAGCAGAAGAGAGGAAGAATTAAGAAGGAAGGAGAGGGTGAGGATTGAATTTTTAAAGTTCAAAATTTTTCTCATCAGATCAGATTTTTAAATTTTTAATTTTTTAAGAATAAGTGAGCTGTAAGTCAAGTCAAGACAAACACAAAAAAATCAATCAATATTCAATTTACTCCATATTCCATCACATTCAAACAAAAGTAACATCAAAATTAACGTTAGATAATTTTCATTTCGAGGAATGGTTTGCTAAGAAAGAATTGGATTTGGAGGGCAAGCAGTCTTGCATGAAGAGGAGATCCCCAATAACGCCACGTACAATTAGGCATTTAAGTAAATCCAACATGGACCTCAATCGCGTCATTGGGACCAATTTTTTTAAAAGAAGAACTTCAAGTTTGTTGGAATATATTTTAAATTTTATTAACTTATGTTCATTGAAATTTAATTGATTACTGTTAAAGTGTACTTGTCTACTTGTAACTTCATTCGTGTCAGTTATCTCTATGTTGTTCTATTAGCTCAGCTGCTCAAATATCAGTTCAGCAAATTTGTTTGAAAAAAATGTTTTTTAAATGACACATTAAAACGTTTTAATTTTTTGAAATAAATTTTTTATTAACATGATTTTTTAAAAGAACCGCTGACTATATACAAAGTGAATCTTGATGAAAAGGCTCGAAATTCTATGGAGAGCATAGTTGACATGAGCAAAATGATGAAGAACAAAGAAAATATTATTTCTCAGAGACTTTCATCTTCATATGTTAAACAAGTGCTTACTATTTTTTAATATTTTATCATTCTCTGTTGATGATGAGCATTTATAAATTTTTAAGAAACCACCCACTTTTGATGCATCATCAGTTCTTTCAAAGGCTAATCAACTAGATCCTAGATCTAAAATAACATCTCAGTTAAATGGTCAGTTACTAAGATCAAGTTATTTAAAGAGACAACTGGTTGAAAATGTGAAACTGCAAAAAAAGAGATGCAGGCAAGGAGGTCTTGCTAGTTTTTACGAGGAACTGAGCAGTTCTTGCCACAAAGCAACATGTCCCAACTTGAACAATGTACCTTCAAATTTTGATGAATCAACTGCTATCTCCAACATTTTTTATCCTTCTAAAAATTATGAACACCGTCAATTAAGTACAAGAAATTTTCATCAACCAGCTGATAACACTAATTTTAGTAATTCTAATTTGAAGGTATTCAAGCAGATAGAAAGGGTAAATTACACATATTACACAAAGGAATGTTTTGTTATGAGGTCCAACATGATGGCGTCGTCACCGTCTTCATGCACCAAGCCAACAACTCTTCAAAATTATCAATCTTCAGTCAGCGATTTCAATCAAGCTGGTGATTACGACTGCATTAATTGTGATTCTGAAGCCAAGAAATATACATTATCAATGAACAAGAGTACAATGAACAAAACTAGTGAGGGTTCTACAGTTGAGGATAGCAATAATAATAATTATGATAATGAGAGTTGCGAGAAGGATATTGACAAGAAGTACAGCGTTTCATATGATTACAATGAAAATGGTTACGGTAGCCATGTTGAAAACCAATCCATTATTCTTTACAAGAAGAATTGTGATAACATTAATAAAAAAAATAATAATTGTATAGTTATCTCTGATGTCAATATTAATAATAATAATAATGATAATAATGATAATAATAATAATAATAATAATAACAATAATATTGATAATGATGATGATGATGATGATGAGAGGGAAATACAGGTTGTGGCTTATACTTTTTTACTTTTTCAATTAAATTCTTGTAAAGAATCATTTCATGTTCAACTGTTATTGGTAGTTACAGTTATTGTTTTAGATTGCATTTGTTGAAAACTGCACAAATTTTTTGACAGACTCGTAGTGACCATGCAGCAGCATCAACCAGCGTGTATGATTGTGAGGAAGCAATGAGCCTTAGATATAATGAGACGGCAAGTGCTAGTGACAATGTGCACAGTGTCATTGATATTCTCAGTGATGAGAGTAGCAACAATTTTGAAGACGATGATCACGAGAGGGACGACGATGATGTATTGATATCTTCTCAGACTTCATCAACGTCATCATTTTGTGAAATTGAAGCTGTTACAGCTGCGAGGTCTCGGGATAATTTTCCAAGCGTTGAAAATAATTTTAATACTAAAACGATCTCCAATGAAATGTCCAGACATTGCAATTGGCCACTAGAACGTTTTAATGATGATTTCACTCTTAATTTCGATTCAAAGTTATTCACTGACCAAGAAACAATTGCTAGTGTTTTTAAAATCGCAAATGATGATACCAATCCAGCCACCATCCCCAATGATAACATCATTCCATCTGCAACTTCCGCTGTTAACAACAACAACAACAATATAGTTGATGTTTTTAGAGTTTCAAGTCCAGTTTATCCTAACATTGTCATTTTTAAGAGACCAGTTGAAAATCAAACGAAAATATCATGCCAAAGTTATGCTAATATGGCAGGGCAAGCAATGAAGCTTTTGAATGATACAAAATTATTTGGACATCAAGCAGATGAATCTTGCTCAAAAGTTGATGAATGCTGTCAAACAATTTTCAGTTACTCAGACAGCACAAGTCAGACAACATGTGATGCTTTGATGGATGGCCTCGCAACCAAACACCAACTACCTCTTCTCAATATTTCTTCTTCAGTTGATAAGTCTTGTCAGTGGGAGACTCCTGTAATAAAAGATTCGTCCTTTCTTTATGAACTCCATGCTAGAAGAAAATTCGAAAAAGTTGATGAGGTTTTGAAGAGAATTGGGCAGCTGAATGAAGGAAATGAAAATACTCATTCGGATGCTCTACCTACTCTTTTCATTTCAGCTATGAATCCTGTTAACAATTGTTCTGCCATGTTTTGTAAACAGAGTTTATTTGGAGGCAGTGCAGTTATTTGTTCTTCCTCAGTAACTTCTAACTGTTCACTTGTTACTTCTAACTGTCCAACTCTTACTTATAGCCATGCAATTACGACAGAAGCAAGAGGAGGAGGAGGAAGAGGAGAAGGAGTTGTGAGTCATACGGCAGCTGCGCCATACAATCAGATAAGTGTTCAGATCAACAATCAAAACATCTATCAACTGGTCTTCAATGGCAGCGGCAATCTAACTTCGAACAACAATAACAATAAGGATTGTAATAATGGTGATGGGAGTGCACGGTGTTTAGTAAACGGCAGAGATGCTTGTGATGAAAATGTTGGTGATGTTTTTCAATTCAGTAGAGGTCTTCAAGCCGAGAAAATTTCATCCTCAATCTCACCTCTCCATCATAGCAACAACTTTTATAGTATTAATAATGATAATATTGATATTCACCTTTGTAATGACGTAACAGTTCACCAGTGCGATGATGACAAATCATTAGTGGATCCAAAAGCAGACTTCAATTATCTGCATCCATTTGGGAAATTCAATGTGCAACTGAATGATATTTTTACATTCAGTGCTAAAAACTCTGTTACTGAAGATATCAGTAATAACTACGATAAGATTAATGATAGAAATAATAATTATAAAAATTTTAACGATAGCAGTAATTATAACAAGAGTTTAATCATTAATATGATTGGTGATGGATGTCATTGTGCTGGGGAGGGCGCTGACGAGTTCCACAGCTTAAATTCACAAAGCAGCTGCAATTCACATTTTCAATGCCTGAATGATGAGGAGGAGGTCCCTGCCAGCTGTTTGGTGGATTCTCAGGAAAGTTCTTTGTACGAAACACCTATATTTGAGAAGTTTAATTGACTCATTCATTTATTTTCTTCATCATCATTATTACTATTGTATTTAGTTATTAATTAAATTGATGTTATATTTACGAATTTATCGTTTATTATTCTTCCTCCTGCTTGCGTTAGCGCTACCGTTAATTACCTCTTAGAAGTCATCGCATTTCGAAGTGAAGATGAGACAAACTACGACTGGTTCAATTTAATGTTACGTTCGTTTATTTAAAATAGATACACAATTTTATAAATAAGTCCGTTAATAGATACACGCAATTGAATTAGAAATTATCTTAATTATTGAAAATAACTGGCGACTTATAAAATTGATAGAGCAATCACCAAGTACGTTTAGTTGGTTATTGTTTTGAACATAGTTGTGATTTATTTAATTTACAGTTTTGTTCAGGTCAGTATCAGGCCTACAGATAGAAATAATTTTTATTTGCGATTGCTGACTCTGGCGAGTTGGTAAGATTCAAGACATAATTCGTGGATGTGTTTTAGTTCCATGTTCAAGCCATTAAATACACGAGCCGTTTTATCTTCGTACATCATCAGAGCTTCGTTCAGTCTGTCTATCTCCGACCTCATATCTTCCAACTTTCTCGTGAAATCTTCCGACTTTCTTCTCGTTTGTACATCTCTGTCCTTGTCCGGCGTGTCTGATTCGATCTTACCCAGCAAGATGTCCGAATTGATTTTTAATTCACCGGCCGGCGTCCTTTTTAAGAACCAACGGTTCTGCCACTTGTCGAATCTTGCTTTGAATCTGATGAGTCGCAACTTTCGGACTAGTTTGAAGTTTCTTTCGATCCACAAGGCCATCCTCAAACTTTCGAACCTCCAAGCTGTGGATCTGACTGATTTAACATCTGAATAAGTGCTGTTCATCATTGCAATGAGCATGTTCATCAGGACGACAGAGGATAGTATGGAATATGTGGCGTACACTCCTCTCAATACCGAAGCACCCGGGGCGTTATCGGTTCCGTTCCCATTCGGTGATTTTGTAACATCTAAAACGTTACCAGGGCTCAACATTTGGTAGAAGGTTAAATATATTGTAGAGGTTGATGAGGCTAATTCTGGTCTCGAATGGATGTTTGCTTGAATGAGAACGTGAATTGCGTAACCGAAACTAATTAAAACAAATATGTATATATAAATAAAGCGAGTTATGTCTTTTATGAGTATAGTCTTCAATATGCTTGCCAGGGCATTCCAGTCTTTGAAACCTTTAACGTAATTTATTGTGTGCAACCAACCGAAAACTAAATGAAGTGCTAAACACTCTAGATACGGCTGCACACTGGATGCATATACGCAAGTAACGTACCACGCTACACAAGAAAGGGCAAACGCTAAAGAAGATATGTGAGATAAATTATCAAATATGAAAAGCATCAAACCGACTGGTATCCGCATCAAGCCAGATGTTATCTCACCTATTTTCAATCGGCCGAGTAGTTCGTAACGAAGCGACATGTTGTTTTTATTGTAACGCAACTGGACTATAAAATGTAAAGCCGTAATCAGTTCGTAAATGAATATCAAGGCAGGCCAAATTAAGAAGAAAGAATAAATCCTTACTGAAAATAAGCTACCTACTATTACCTCTCCATTTGAAATCAACGTGCCATTTCTATAAATATTTTCACTCAAATTATGAAATCTACTCTGTATCCAGGAACTATCAGGAATAACGAAATAAGTCAACAAAACCATATAAGTCACGTGAGTCCACATTAGCAATTCATATCCTCTGCGACACAGGGTCCAATAATTGTAGACTAATGAATGGAAAGGCTCCGTGCTAAGAATTTCATTGATATCTGATTCCTGTCCACTTTCTACCAAATATTCAAGACAAGAAACGTTTGATTTTGGTGGTGCCGATGATCTCCTTCTACGCTGTTCTGCCTCGCTGTTTGTACTGTCGCGGTGTTCCCGTCTGATTGTAGAATCAGGAATGTGGCCTGGAATTAAGAACGTCACATCGTACAAAACTGCATTCGTCGGTAGTGCGTTTTTATCTTCCAAGAATTTTGCTAATTCACCGTTATTCGTATTATTTTGACCCATGTGTGGGTTATCATTTTTAGAATTTGAATTTGACATTATTGAGAGAATACTGCTCTTTACATTATGTGACATGCTTTCTTGCGTTCTTTCTATTTTCAAAGGGCTACATTTAGTAAATTTGTAAACGTTCGCCGTTTCTAAAATAACTTTAAGCATTTTACTTTCTCCTTTTCTGGCCGCATATTGTAGAACATTACATCCATCGTACTGTGTGTCAGATGTTAACAGTCTGACGGCGTCTAGTTGAACCAAGTAGAATTGATTTGTGTTCGCTAGAGGGCATCTGAGACCTTTTTTGCGACAATACCAAACCACAGCCCACTCCACGGTAGATTTATAAATGCTAACATATTTTTCAGCCTTATTAGGATCTGCTTTGCAACATTCAACCAATCTGTGAAGAATGCTTGGTCCTGACTCACATGTTATTGCCATATCAGCACCGTACAGCAACATAAGTTCGTATTTTTCTCGATCACCATTTTCTGCACTTCGATAAAGAGCACTGAATCCGAGTTCATCTCTTCTATCTATGTTTGCTTTACGGTCTCCGTAAAACAATTCCAGCAGCGTCCTAACAGACTCAGCCGATCCAGCTCTGGCCGCCACGTGCAAAGCAGTTTCGCCGTCTTTATTTTCTATCTCAGGATCACACATTGCTAATATGCGAATAACTTCAGGTTTGTTGAACATGGCAGCCAGATGTAGTGCCGTGTTGCCATTGGATTCTTGTTCATTCACTAACATGGGATCGACCTAAAATTTGTATTTATTTTTAACAAATGAAATTTGAATTTATGAAGTTTTTTAATAAAAGTCTTACTTTTTCAAATGCCTCAATTAACATTTCTACGATTTCAATTCCAGTGGCTCGTGTAGTAACCGCAGCGTGTAGAGCATTTTGACCTTCGGAATCCAATATATCAACTCTAACTCTTTTGTTGAGCAGTGATCTGACCGATTCAACGTGATTCCTTCGTACGGCTACGTGAAGGGCTGTTTCGTAGTTTTTATTTTGCAGATCTTTGATGTCGTCGTTCTCATCTAAGAAAAGGTCGATAACTTCTGATGAATTGAACGCCGCGGCTGTGTGGTAAACCGAATTCTCGGTTGATTCTTCCAGTAGATGAAGTCTTTCGTGGTGATCGTCATCGAGCAAGAGCATTTTCAGACGCTCAATTTTACCGTTTGATACCGCTGTATGCACGTAAAAGCAATCTAATGCCTCGTTGAATCTCACCCTGCCGAGTAAAAACGATAAAACCGACTCATCTTCTAATTTCATCGCCAAATCAAATACAGATTGGCCGAGATTATTTCTGCGATCTAAGTCTATGTCAGGCATCTCAACCAAGAGTTGAACTGCTTCTAATTTGCCAGAATCTGCAGCAAGCATCACCGGGGTATTACCAAAATCATCTGGTTTGTTTAATAATTTTGGTTTTCTTTCAAGGATTGTCGACAAGACATCGGCAAAACCGTTAGATGCTGCGATCAGCAAAGCTTGATGTACGTTCGCTCTAAATACTGCTCCTTTACCTTTCTTCCTATCAATTAACCAGCCGACAACTTGCGCGTTATTTGTTTTCGCCGCCATTTCAATCGCCCATCTTGGATTTTTTATTCTTTCGATGTTTAAATCTGTTGACTCTTCATCGATCAAAACTTTTACCATTTGGTTATCCTTGCCAACAGACATGTGCAGGGCTGCACAATCTTGCTTGTTTTGTGCGTTGATGTCTGCTCCGAGCCGAACTAATTCAACTAAGGACTCTATTTGGCTCTGAAAAAATAAATAAAATCGATCACTCGATCAATCGATTACTCAATCAATCACTCACTCAATTGATATTTAAAGTACCATTTTCGCGTTGTTTAATAGCGCTCCTCAATGAATTTTACAAACAAATGGGTTTTGAACTTTATAAGCGATGGAGAAGTTGTTAGAGAAGGAGGTAGAAAGTTATGGAGAAAAACACTAAAAAAAAGCCAAAGCAGAGTGATTATGAAGACAACGGAAAGAAATGTTAACTAATTAGAATATTCTTTCATCTGTTTAAGTTCAACGATCCACCCACGCCAGACAGAACAATTGCGGGTCACGCACACCGCATACATGTGTACAATTGTCTACGCGCAGTGCATTTAATTATGATTTGCTATAAATGAAAAATAATTACATTTTATCTGATAAATACATTAAGAAACATATTGAACGGTTTCTTGATGAAAGAAAACTTAGCAAAATTATACATGTTAGATGTATGCGGGTGGCGTAAACATTATTTTTATTTTATTTTCGTGACTAAAAAAACTATCATCCTTTCGTAATTAATGTCATGTTGCAACAACGTGAAAATGCTCATCAAAGGAAAGACAACATCAGACACACCACATGCTATCATCATTTCGTACAGAAGAACACACACTCGCGTGCACACAGCCGCAAACACACACGGGCCATCATTTCATACCTGCTGTACCGCCAGCATCAAAGCAGTTTCTTGTTCACTATCTCTCTCATCGATGGACAGGCCGTAGGATACCAAGAGTTCCAACATCTGCCAACGTCCATTCACAACGGCCAGATGTATTGCTGTTCCTGTTCTTCTCCGGCGATCTTTTGTCTCAAACGTTACTGTGGCGTTCAAAAATGTATCTAAATCTTTTTGAGTTTTGCAGAATCCGAACGAAGGTAGTTTGGGCCAGGATGCATTTGTGTTGTCATCCACGTTCACACAAGCCTTTTTAAGTCTGTTCATCACGGTATCTAGAGTTTTTTTATTTCCTTTCTCGACCATTAGGTGCAAACAAGTCTTTCTCCTGAACACCAAGGACGATTTCATTCTGCGTTTTGATTCTCTACGTACAATGTCCGGATAATCGCCCAGCAAGTAACTAATTGAACAATTGGCAGCAATATAATCGCAGATGTCTCTCTTGTCTTTCTCGAGAGCTTCGTGAAAGAACGACTTGCCACTGTAATAATCGACCAGCTCCCTGCTCTCCAGGTTCAAACCGCTTGATTCGTAGCGAAGCAACACTGCTTCAAACTGTTTGACGTCGTCGAAATCGATCGCTGTCGAAAGTTCCTGTCGAGCTTTCGCTACCAAGTTGGATACTGGCCGCTGCCTTCTGATGCGTCGACGCTGAAATTATGGCGGTGAGATTTTTTAAATTATTAAGTTAAATTAATGATGCTTGTGTTTTCATTAATTACAATTTACAATCCAGTTTACTTGTTTCATTTAACGTCCCACTTTATCAAAACTAGATGTCAGAGCGCACACGTATGATATAAAATAAATTTGTTAGAAAAGACATAAACAAACGATAAAACACATTTTTTGCAATATTTTAAATATGAAATAGAATGAAAATATGAAGAAACAAACATCTGCCTATTAAACGAACCATGACAGAATTTGTACGTTCGGACATTGAGTTAGTGTGACAATCGTTAACTGTTAACGTACTACTGTTGTTGCTGGCCGATTCGTTGGGACTGGAAATCAATTTCACTTTGAATCTGCCATCGAGTTCATCGTCGTCCGAGTAGGACCTCGCCACAGAAAGAGGTTTCTCGTGAGCCACTTTCGAATTGTCTGTTTGTCGGGTTATGCCCAGAAAGAACCGTTTCATCGTTCGGTTATTCGTAGCATGCAAGCCAATTCTTCAAGTGTTGATGTAATTTAGGTGATGTTTGAATTAAGGTTGCAGAAATTGAAATGATCGTTTGTAAATTGTATTGTAGACTGTTTTTGTTTTATGTTTGACCGATGATAACTGATTGGATGCAGCTGTAATGATCGTTATGTTTTTATTTATTTCCAATTTGTTCGTCTACCTTCTTCAACTTTTTCCCTCTTGATGTTAATTCAGGTAAATAACTTTTATAAAAAATGTTTTACAGCGCGATGAATAAACATAACAAAAGCAAGAAAATATTTAAGTCACTGATATGAGTGATATCGATTGTTGGAAGTCCGGAGTGTTTCTTAAAAGTTCGAATCATCGGCAAGTTGATGTCATCCTATTTAGCCTATCTACTGCCGCTGCTGCCAACAAAATATTTGTTCGTTTCTACTAGTGGGTATTATTGCTGATGTTAATGTTGTTGTTGTCATTATTAATGTTGTTTTTGTTGTGTAGGGGCTTCGTTGGAGTTTATTCCCTTATTATCTGCTTGACGTTGTTCTTTGTGGCATGCGTGCGTTACAATTTTCAGTGCAGAGTGAATTCGTTGAGACGTATCTTAAATGACGACTCTTCAACACTAGCCAGTAACAGTTAGGTTTAAATTTATCAAAATTAATCAACTTTATAACAATTTTCAGTGCAGAGTGAATTCGTTGAGACGTATCTTAAATGACGACTCTTCAACACTAGCCAGTAACAGTTAGGTTTAAATTTATCAAAATTAATCAACTTTATGAGGATGCCGTTGTAATGGGATAAGGTTTAGTCGGCAGTTTCAATAAGAGAGGTATTTGCTGTTGCTTCTCTTCACAAGTTCATGTTTACGATTGATTACAGGATTATTAATAGGAATAATAAAAATTAATATCATTATGATTCAGTTACAGAAAAATTACTTTAATGTAAATTATCACTATTATATTCATTCAATTACTTTAATTTTAAACGATAAGAATTTATTGAAATTATTGTTCAATTCTTCTCATCAAAAAGTCCCTGTGGAAAGAAAATTCAATCAACCGACGCAAAATAAATCATCGCTAAATGAAGCCATCATCGTTGTCGTCGTCGTCGTCGTCATCAGGGCTCCATATCATCTTACAATCACTGTCTCTCACTTCTTAATGTCGTCTTCGTCACCACATGTCACATCAGCATCAGAAGATCACACGAAACAAACATCGCCACCAACTCGTCGTCACATCCCAACGAATAAAATGGAATAATTACTTTGCATTTCTGTGGCGTAGACAAATGGAGCAGAAATAGATTTGAGAGAGTGAGTTCGCACAACGTCAGCTCCACTCGCAATAACAATACAGGTAATCAAGGTGGCTTGATACGCCTTATATACACGTATGTATGTATGTTTGTTTGTTTGTATGTATGTATGTTTGTTTGTATGTATGTATGTATGTATGTATGTATGTATGTATGTATGTATGTATGTATAAATTAATATGTAATGATATGTTGGAATGAAGCAGTCATCACATTTCTTGTCTGCCAATTTGTTCTGAAAAAGTCACGCCGGGTATGAAATTGAATTTTCGATTGTTGGATGGGAACTAATCTGACTACTATAACTTTCTGTCAGCGATGTAGCATTACAGTATTTAAATAATTCACCATCATAATTCACAAACGATGAACAATTTGAATGCAGCAGGATGCACCTAAAAATAGACAAACAAAAGCAAATCAACAAATATGTAAACATACAAAAATGCAATAAATTCACAAGCTCACAATCAATTACACATATTTATACTTTGATCAATGCATTCATACATACATACATACATACATTCATACATTCATACATACATACATACATACATACATACATACATACATACATACATACATACATACATACATACATACATACATACATACTTTTACGCAGACATACAAAGCATAAACGCATGCATACGACTATCTATGTCTACAAGTGCACACATCACAATCGATTGCGTGCATGTATGCCTACGCACATACATGAATGCGTTTGCGAGTATGTATGTGTGTGTGTGTGTACGTTTTCATGTATCAACAAACAAACAAGCAAACCCAAACAATAATATACACAAAGAAAGGCAGCCACCGATATGTGAGCGATCGATATCTGTAAACAACCTCCAATCTCCATCTTCATGCTTACAAACAAACAAGCGTTGAATACGCAAACACACGATGGCAATTAACAGCACTGTGTACAATTTAAACAATATAACAACAGCATTAACAGTAGTAACAGCAACAGCAATAATAGCAACAAGAATATTGCATTTGCGTTCGTCAGGCACGTGAATTAATTTTAGCTATCGAGACCTATAGGTAGGTATCTAACCTGTTGTGTTAATATTTTTGTTAGGCTTTATATAATTATTATTGTTGTTATTATTATGGTTATTATTATTAATTTTATTATCCCCATATTGTAACTTCCGTGCACAAATGTAAATTTTTTTTCCTGCAGTAAAGGTGTATATTAAGTAGATTAATTGGAGACCACCGTGATGATGGCCTTAATGTGTGTTTTCACGTCTGCCTGCCTTTTGTGTGTTTGTCTGTGTGTTTGTTTGTTTGTCTGTATGTTTATTTGTCAGTATGTTTGTTTGTTTGTCTGTTTGTTTGTCTGTATGTTTGTCTCTTTGTATTTAATCAATTTGTTTTTTCGTTCGTTCTAAAGCATGTTTTCATGTAGGCGAGTGAATGGTCGCTTGTCTAGCATGCATGCTTCCATGTCCGCCTTTTTAATTATAAAAATTTTCGAGTTTTGTTTGCGCAAGAGACGAAATGAAAATCAATCTTGTTTCATGGATGGCATACATACATACATACACGCATACATACACGCACGCACGCACGCATACATACATACATGCATGCATGCATACATATATGCATGCATACATACATGCATATGTATATATACATGAAATAATACAAGCAGGTAAACATTGGAGTACATAAAAAGACGCCTGAATACATGGAAACATTCGCACGACAATGTAACATTTGCACATGCATACGAAGGTAAAAAAAACATGTACAGGAAAAAATACAAACTCAAGAAAGATAAAAACACAATGCAAACATAAAAATTAACAAGCAATATTTAAAAAAGCAATTTTATCATGTAAAATCCTCATTTGTATGTACATAGATAAAAGTATCTATCTATCTGTTTGTCTGCCTGCCTGTCTGTCTATCTATCTATCCATCCATCCACCCATCCATCCACCCACCCATCCATCCATCAGTCTATTTATCTAGCTACGTACGAATGTATGTACATATATAGGTATACATTGTGATGAAAAGCAAGCATGAATGTGTGCACGGCATGAAGCCGTACAGTACACAAATTATCATCATTAGCAGACAGTACCATTAACTTTCCATTAAGCCATTCGATAAATTTTTCATCAGGTGTTTGTTCAGAGTTGCTTGTTCATTCCATACGCATCTATCCATCCATCCATCCATCCATCCATCCATCCATCCATCCATCCATCCATCCATCCATCCATCCATCCATCCATCTATCTATCCATCCATAGATACATACGCTGGCACACACGCACAAGTCTACATAACATGCCCCTTAACAAAATCTACATACGGACCTCCACAAGCACACATTAATTAGTATATTGATTGTCCACCTGCATGAGCGATAGTTTTGAGGCCAGTTTTTTTTCTGAAAGGTTGTCAAACTTGTAAACAATTTTTGAATATAGGGTTGATATCTGATTCATTATTATCTCTGCGGCTTCTATTATTACTAGTCCTACCTCTACTACTACTACTGCTGCTGCTGCTGCTGCTGCTACAACTATAAAATAAAAATGATAATTTTTTCTGGTTCTCATTCTGTTCTTAGATGACACGTGCAACTTTGAAATGAGATTGATGCTAACCAGCCGAGTCGTAGTTGAACTGATTAATGTTCACATCGCTTGCGACGCACTTTATCATGCACATTACATACACACATTCATCGATGCTCACACACACACACACACACACACACACACACACACACACACACACACACACACACACACACACACACACACACACACACACACACATATATATATATATATATATATATATACACATACATACATACATACATACATACATTGTTAACAACATTTAGAAGATGAAAACGAACAATCACGAGAAATGAGTTTAAAAAAATAAGAGTCTTCCTTCAAATATATCAACTACAGTAAATAATTACAATTTCTATTTATAATTAGTTACAATTGTAATAAATTATCATAAATTAGCACTTGAGAGCCACTAGACTTATTTTTGTTTGGGCTGTCTTACCAGATAATTATTATTAGCAGGCATTCATGTGATTATTATTTCATCATCTCGTTATTTTGCCTCTTGTAAGCACTCGCTGAGTTACTACTGTCCTGTTTGTAAATTATATTAAGTCTATTAACTACCTATTTCCATTTGATTACTCATTGGCACATTTTGCTTGCGAAGGTTTTTGTTGCGTATGTAAGTTACAATCTATTGGTACTATCTATTGATACTATCTATCTATTATCTATCTACTCTCTATTGGTACTATCTATCTACTCTCTATTTATACTATCTATTTACTCTCTACTGATACTATCTATCTACTAGATGGACAGGACATAGAAATGGTGCTTAGTTATTCTGCGTCGCTCGTGAATACTGTTCCTATTTGCAGAGGATTATTACATTATCATTAAATCTAGCTGGTGATGAGTTTATGAACAACAACAATAATAATAATAGTAAATAATAATGATAACAAAATAGATGTCAAGCAGGATGGTGATGAAGATTGAGTGATTGTTAGCTGCTTCGTCACATGAATCCAACAGAAGTACCTACAGTGGAGGAGGTATTTCAATGCGGAAATGTAAGTTGATGATGATGATGTTTGAGAAGGAAAGATGCTGATGATTTTATAATATTTAAACAATTTCACGGCCAGCTGGTGTATGCGGGCCACGATTGTCAGTGGATTCCTGATCAGGTCATCGGCAAGTACGGCGCCACGGCAGTCACCGTTGATTTCAGCGAAAATAAATTGATGTTGGTTCTATTTTTAAACATATTCATTTCAAAAAACGCCAAGTTAAAAATGACTTCCCCTTTTCTTAACCCTTCTTCTTCACTTTCTTCCATTTCTCCTTCTCCCCTGACCCTTCTACTTTTTTCTTTTCCTTTTTCTTCTGCTTTTTCTTCTGTTTTTTCTTCTTCTCCTTCTCTTTCTTTTTTCTTCTTCTTCTTTGTTATCTTCTTCTTTTTTTTCTTCTTCTTTTTCTTCTTTTTCTCTCTTCTTCTTCTTTTCTTCTTCTTCTTTGAGTTTCAATTTGATTCAAAAGGCAATGTTTCGTTTGAGAAAGGAAAAGAAATTTTGCTCATCAACCCACAGAAATTTATCGGAACTCAGTCAATTTTCTCGCCTCAAGGAGGTCGTGTTAGACAAAAATAACATCGATGACGTCATTATTTGGACGTTGCCATGCCTTCCAAATCTGGAAGCGCTTAGTTTGAATAAAAATATAATATCCTTTAAAGCTTTGAACGAGCATGTTTTTTTTTTCAAGTCTAACATTTTGTTAGAGTGTATTATATAAAAAATGATGTTGGATAATAAATTTTTCTCAACTCTCCGGCATTGCCTACATTAGAGATTTAGATAATTTTTTAGACATCATGGAGATGAGGACGCCGTGCCTGAAGTATCTCAGTCTCCATGGTAATCCGCTCTGCCCTGATCAGCTGACTTCCGCAGACAACGACGAGACTGATTACAAAAGATACAGGTACATCAAATAATTTCTTTCACTCTCTCTCTCTCTCTCTCTCTCTCTCTCTCTCTCTCTCTCTCAGTATGTTGGTCTACATGATTGTACACTTGTGTGTGTGGTGTTTAAACGAGTTTTATTTTCGGTAAACAACATCTACATTGAATGTTTCATTGAAAATTTGTTCATTCATTCATTGACGCATCAATGCACAAAAGGTTGTACACAAAATATCGTCTGCCGACGTTGAAGGCTCTGGACCACAAACCATTTAATTCATTGGAAACAACGAAGGCGTCCATTAAGGGACCTTACCTCAAAACTGTTCGTCCCAAGGCCAACCTTCAACAAAATCTGCACTGCACTCATGTATATTCAGTTTTGTCTTCTTCAAACTCTATCCCTTCTCCTCCTCCTCTTCCTTCTTCTTCTTCTTCTTCGTCTTCTTCTTTTTCTTCTTCTTCTTTTTCTTCTTCTTCTTCTTCTTCTTCTTCTTCGTCTTCTTCTTCTTCGTCTTCTTCTTTTTCTTCTTCTTCTTTTTCTTCTTCTTCTTCTTCTTCTTCTTCTTCTTCGTCTTCTTCTTTTTCTTCTTCTTCTTTTTCTTTTTCTTCTTCTTCTTTTTCTTCTTCTTTTTCTTCTTCTTCTTCTTCTTCTTCTTCTTTTTCTTCTTCTTCTTCTTCTTTTTTTTCTTTTTCTTCTTCTTCTTCTTCTTCTTCTTCTTCTTCTTCTTCTTCTTCTTCTTCTTCTTCTTCTTCTTCTTCTTCTTCTTCTTCAGTTTCCTATCACTTGCCTTTTCCATGCATGCCACAATTTTTTCATAATTCAATTTATGATCGGCACAACCTCACATCACCACAACACAACGTCCCCACCTCAAACTCAACGCCGTCACAATAGGAGGATGTCAGCCCTCGCCTGCGACCGCTGC